GATGAACAATTTTTCTAACATTTCACCAGCTTTAAACTTTAAAAATTATGTGAATTCTACAGATTTTTATTCATAATCAACTTGGCAGTATATCTACATTATATTTTATCCATGTAACTGAATTACTGTGCTAGATGCTGAAACTAAATAAAAGTTAAGAGTGTGGTTAATTTTTGTAAGAATATGAAGATGCTTTAAACACCATTTTTCATAAATAAATCTTGCATTTTATATTTATTTCTCAGTGATAAACGTTAAACGGTTAAATCTTATGTTTATTATAAATTTTTATGTGGTTTTTTGAATAATTTTTTTTTAAATGAACTCCAACTACTGATTGTGTCCTGGGTTATTGTCAGAATTAAATATTCCATCATTTTATGTGAGTTGTGGCTTTTTTTTCTTTCCAAGTAAGTTTTCTAAACAACTCTAAACAAAGTACTGAAACATTTCAATCAGTTCATTGGACCTCCTAGTCACAATTTTTTGACCCCTCTATCCCACGCACAGCCCTTAACATTACTCACATATAATATCATTTTTTAATTCTGGATTTAGTTTTAATTTTGGTACGTTTGTATTACAATAAAAAAAATAATTAACTAAGCGTGAAAATATTCAAATTTTTACCTTACAAACTTGGCACAATTGCATGTATTGACCGAGTTCGAATGCGAAGGGATCTATGGCTATCAATTTCGTTTTATATGTATGAAGCATTCCTTCATTGTTTCAAGCTTATTTGCATATTACACTGTGTGTGTGTGTGTGTGTGTGTGATTGTGTATGTGTGTGTATGTGTGATTGTGTGTGTGAAGGTGTGTGTGTGTATGTATGTGTGTGTGTATGTGTGTGTGTGTGTGCGTGTGTGTGTGTGTGCGTGTGTGTGTGAAAAGTTTCACCACACTGCACACATCAGCATCTGGAAGTCAATGCGTTCAATCACATTAACTCTCTGAAATAATATTGACACTACTGAGTGAGTCACACACAACACAATATTAAATGTTTGGCCGGCGGTTTTTATGAGTGAATAAACAAATGAATGAATAAACAAACGCATGAACGAACGAACGAATGAGTGAATGAAATAATGAGGGAATGAATTAATGAATGAATGAGTAAATGAGTGAGTAAATGAATGAATAAATAAATGAATGAATGAATAAAAACATATAATCTTGTACCTATTTGTATAAAGTAATTCTATGAATGTGTTAAGAGATCGAATTAAGACTGAAAAAAAAACATTCGTTCACCCAAGCTCGAACTGAATTTGCTCTAATTGAATTCGCAAATACTTGGGAAGATGATGATGACAATGATGATGATGGCGATGATGATAATGATGGTGAAACAATGGTGATGGAATGATAGTGATGGGATGATAATGATGAAATGGTAATGCTAACAATAAAGCTGACAAAGACAATAGAAAAGATTGAGGACAAGAAAGACAGGCTAATCATTTTGACGTTGGTGGTCGTTTTTGAAGCTGCTGAAGCTGTTGAAGTTGCTGCTGCTGCTGATGATGATGATTTAGATGCTTTCTTTCATATGATGTTATTCATATGATGATGGTGCTGAAATTTAAGATGATGGTACTGATACTATGAATACAAATACCAATAGTACAAACAATTAGCAACAACAACAACAACAACAACAACAACAACAACAACAACAACAATAACAATAGTAATAACAATATTAATAATGTTAACTCTCTTATTCAAAGCCAGGGTAATAAATAATTGAAACTGTGAAATGCAAAACAATGGAATGTCAATATAAAACCACTCTGTTCAATTCAAAATAAAAGTACAGAGCGGTGAAGTATATTCAAATTTAAATCTAATGAAAAATAATAATAATGATAATAATAATAAAAATAAGAATGATAATAATAATAATAATAAAAGCTCTAATAACGAATGAGGTAATAAATAGTGGTGGGAGATTATTGAAACGTAAAATGTCGCCAAGCCATCAGAGCAGTAGCAAGACATGTGTCGTTCGTCATCATCAGTGACGTCATTTTCATCGTCACCATCATCATCGTCATCATCGCCATCATCGTCATCATCATCATCATTAATGATCATCATCATCATTAATGATCCTCATCATTATATGATATTCGGTACGATGATTATGATGATGTTTTTGTCTTTGCTGTTGTTACTGATGTTGATTATGATAATTTTGTTGTTGTTGTTGTTGATGATGATGTTGTTTTTGATGTTGATGTTGTTGTTGATGTTGTGTTGTTGTCGTTGTTGATGTTGTTGTTGTTTTTGTTGTTGTTGATGTTGTTTTGTTGTTGTTGTTGTTGGTGTTGTTGATGTTGTTTTGTTGTTGATGTTGTTTTGTTGTTGATGTTGTTGTTGTGTTTTTGTTGATGTTGTTGTTGTTGTTTTGTTGTTGTTGGTGTTGTTTTGTTTTGTTGGTGTTGTTGTTGTAGTGTTGTTGTTGTTGATGTTGTGTTGTTGTTGTTGTGTTGTTGTTGTTGCTGGTGACGACGACGAAAACAAAAAAAGCATCAGCAACGTGCTACAAAAAGTTAATTGGGAATGACTGATCTGAACCGATGTTCTAAATAGGCTGAACCAATTTCGCTCCTACTGTTACTACAACCACTGCGGCTGTTGTTGTGGCTGTTGTTGTGGCTGCTGTGGCTGCTGCTGCAGCTACTAATACTACTACATCTACTGCTACTAGTGTTGATGCTATAACCGCTACTACTTTTACTACAGACAATTTTAGGAAACAGCATAGATATTAAAAACAACAAAATTATTTAAATCTAAAAAATCAACAAGCAATCTAAAAAAACATTTGACCAACCATCCAATCAACCAACCAGCCAACCAACCAACCAACCATTCAACCAACCAATCAACCAGCCATCAAACGAACCAACCGACCATCCAACCAACCAGTCAACCATCTTGAAAGACTTGGTGAAAGCGATCGTTTGGCACCAGTCAAAATCTTCAAAGGTACAACAAATAACTCGACTGTCATCAGCATAAACTTCCTGTCAAATGCTTCAGCGTACCGAAAAAACTAGTTAAAAACATCAAATAGTAAAAAAATTTACTTCAAAAACACAAAATCATATGGGATGGAGTAGTGGTTAAGTTGCTTGCTACTTATGTTCCAGTGACAGAGTTCGAAAGCAAAGTCATCCAGCTTATTTTTTTAACAATGTGTTGGACGAGGGACAAGCATGTATTGAAAGCAAGAACAGTGTGAATATTATACTATATCGTTAAACTTTCTATGAGCAACAGCAATACAACAGCGAATCTTTTTAAGAAAAACTAAACTATATAAAAGCGTCCTACCACATAAAAACATCTAAATGTAATAAACAACAATACAGCAATATTAACTCCAACTAAATAGAACAAAGTAACAAGATTAGCTTTACAGCAACCTAAACAACAACAAATTATCCAAACAACAACCCAAGAATCAACCAACAACAAATAAACTGAATAATCGTACATTTTTTTAATAATTTCTAAACAGCATCAACAGCAGAACTAACAACATCATGCACAACAACAAGAAAATCTACAGAAACGACGATAACAACAATATCACCAAAACAACAACAACTGCAGCAATAACATTACCACCACCACCAACAACAACAACAACAACACCATCACCAACAACAACACAAACAACAAACATGACAAAAACAACAACACCATCAAACACATCAACAACAACAACAACAACAACACAATCAAACACAACAACAACAACACCATCATCAACAACAACAACAACACCATCAAACACGACAACAACAACACCATCAAACAAAACAACAACCCAACAACACCATCAAACATAACAACAACAACAACAACAACACCATCAAACTCAACAA